TGCCTGTTGCATACATTTTAACAAAACCATTATACCCTGATTTCCCATTTTCAATTTGTTCAGGGAATAAAAAGTAGGCGAAACTTTGATGGAAATCGTTCAATATTATTCTTAAAGAGATTAAAAGCCAAGTTTCATGTGGTATCTTGAATGTTGTAAATTCGTATAATATACGAGAAATTTTATGTCTGACGATACAAGAATTATTATTTGATGCCGATGCCAAACATTTCAAAATTTTAGACAACATAACATGAGAAACCCCGAAAGAACGTAGACACTCTATATTACTTTATTTGAAGCTACATAGTTATTTATGTTATTATTTGCATAGATTATTTATCTCCGGCTTACTTGCTGTTCACGTTGAGGAGCAAGGCCAAAAGACTATAAGCCTGGTTCATGGTCTAAAATAAAGAATTTCGATAGAACAATATCTAATTCAGAAACGCACTTATACCTTGGTGAAAAGTGGTAAGCCCACTTCAAAAAATCCGCCTGCTCGTAGAACCAAGGGACGGTTGAGGTAGATCATAAAACAGAGTATCAGACGACGCATTGGCTTCGACATATCTGGCCAAGAGCAACTATAGAGAGCAGTCGGCAACCGATCAGCGTTGCGGGTAATATCGTTCCCATATATGCTGGGCAAATAGATTTGCATAGTCATCGCGAATAAATACTCTAACATAGCTAAGAAGATGCTCGGTGTCTGGAACACATTGAGCTGGCGAGGAATAATTAAGTGGAGTTACGCACAATGTTACATAATGCCGCTGATTATTCACTTACCATCTGCATGCGGTAGATGGAGAGGCACAATATTATGGCGCTCAACAAGATCTGAATAAGCGTGCTCTTTGAGATGAAGATCTGAATCATCTCAGCCTGAGCCTTGACGCGCCTATGAAGCCTAATAAGGTCCAGCAACTGCACACGCAGCTGGCGCTCAGAGTCGCGATGCCCAGTGGGAGCAAGCACAGATAGACGCATGCCCAGCATCTTAAAGCAAAGCGAAATGTACAGCATTAGGTAGCAATTGAGTAGGTCCGACGTTATGTTGGACAGACAGGTAAATGGCACAGCGAACAGCTGATAAGCGTATAGACACCAGAATTTAGCGGGCTTCTGCCAGTCAAAGGGCACCCACACCAAAAACGGCAATTCATTTGGATAGTTGTACGCCGCGGATATGAAGATGCACGGCACCACGCCCAGGCTGCAGAAGCAGTACAGGAGGGCGAAACGCAAAAAGCGCAGCTGTTCCCGCTCCCACATATCACGCTCCGGGCCGGAGTGAACTTCAAACTGTGGGCTATCGCTCCACTCTTCGAGTAAGTTCCGAGCAATTTTAGCATAATGCCAGTTGTTGAAAATTTTTGCCACCAGACTTGTCATCGTCAGCGTGATGAACAGCACATCTGTGCAGTGCTCGAAGTCCTCGCTGCTTACAGCCTCAATCCACATCATGGCCGTGAACGTAAAGGTCACAAAGAAATGCAGCGTGAACGACTTCATCAATTCGAGCAATCTGATGCGTGATGCAGACGTAGAACTAGATGTTACTGAGCTTCGATTCGGCCACAGTCTACAAAACTTCAGGTTCCGCACCAAAGCTCGCGAGCCTTTGATGTTGTCCGAACCCATGACTGTTCTTCTCCTTACTTTGATTGGAAAGTCAGACTTGTTGGCCTTATATAGAGCAGACCAAGCCCTACTACTAATTGATTCGCAAATTGCTTAATTTGATGGGTGTCTAACCATTTCAATTAAAAATCAATTAGATATTGTATTTAAAATGAAAATCGATATCATCAGTATCAAAAGGTTGGTTTGGAACGAGTGCATTCCGTGGTTTCCTACAGAGAAAGATTTCAATGCACATTGGAAAATGAGGAATGAGTACCCTATCCGAGTGTCGTATTAAAAATAGAACAAGTTTCCCAAATAAGCACCATCCAATGCAACCAAAATTTTTGCGCCTTTCACAAAAATACAATCTCATGCCGCGACAGGGACCGGCTAGAGGAAGTGTTTATGGGTTTCGGAAGAGGGCAACGACTCTTTTGACGTTAGATTCCAAAAGTATTTATATTTCATTCTATCAACGGTATGTACATACATATGTATAAGAGATGTGTATGCTTGGGACTATTACTTAGAATTCTGTAGTTAATCAGAATACGTTTTTTCCTACCATTTAATTTATAATCGTTATCTTAAAAAAACGTGTGGAGGTATGGATGATTTTTCTATGGTGTGGCTAAGAGCTTATAAATTCAAAAATGATCATTATCAGTAGGCCTTCTGCTAGTGAACTCGTAGAGTCTAAGCACTCTATTAAACGTATTGCTCTAAACAAAAATTAAAAATATTCTTACTTTTTTGCAAGCTCTCTCAAATCCAAAGAATCCTCTTGCATGCATATATGTATGCTATTATTTTTGTGGAAAGAGGCCAACCATGAAATCGTTAGATTTAAAGAGTAACGGATTCGAGGCAGTTCACACACAAACGCGATTATATTAATAAGTACTGTCACGTTCATACATGTGCCCATTCATTCGTAAACTTTACGCACACCAATATATGTATGTATAACACTTATTCACAATAACAACTCAATTAGCTCATTTACACATACATACATGTATATGTATGTATTTTTGCGCTTCTGTTGATTTACCGTTTTTTCCTTTTTTCATTTATTTACAATAATTCAACATCTCTTCAACGCACATGTTTTCATTTTAATTCTTTTATAGACTCGCATGTGTGGCATAGATATGCCCTCTTCTGTTTGGATATTTACATATACATATGTAGCTGGGTATGTATTTATAATTTGGCACTTTGCACATCAGCCGTCAAATCTCACACGTCCGCCTTGAAGTAACGGAAAAGACTGAGCGGACGATTCAAGCAACAGGCTATTTATTAAAGATCGCCGCCATGGTCGAGAGGGAGTGAAATGAGAGTGAGAGCGAACGTGAGAGCAAGTGCCTAGTGCCATCAAAGCAGTGCAGACTGCACTGCTTGCTCTCTCACTCTCACTCTCTCTCTCTCGCATGTGTCTGAATGTGTGTATGCTGCATTAATATAAATTTATGTTCGTTAATTTTGAACAGCAGTCCAAAGTATTATTGCACTCGCATGGGCACTAAAGTATATAATTAAATTACTGTGTTTATGTACATGCATGTCGACACTTTCAGCTACACCAAGTAACTTCAACGGAGTTAATTAATTCTAAATCAGACTACCCCTGTGCTTCCGGTCAGACTTTATTAGATGAGAGCAATCGTTCATTTACATATATGAAATTAATGTCTATACGCGCACATTTGTATCTATAAAACATTGTATACTTCAGCCCAAATAAGTATGTTCAAAAAGCCTACACGATCATACATATATGCACTTTACACCCAAAGAAATGAAGAATAATGTCTGCAAAATTGTGTTGGCAAATAAACAAAGAGCACACATGTATGCATGCATGCCACATGTGTATGTACGTATGTATGTACGTACATATGTATGCATGTATGTTGGCATGTGGTCAATCTGAGATGAAATATATTTTTGAGAACTTTCTTAAATTTGACACACATTTATTCGTAGCGCATTATCGACTTACTTTTAAGTTGACAAACTATTTCAGAATTGTATTTGATCAATTATTTGACTTGACGCAATAAACCTGAACCTTGGTTAAAGAGAAAACGCAGGAAGGACTGGGATCGTTGACTTTGTTATTATAAATAGCTACTTGAAGAGCATTATATTTCAATGACAAGTAACTTGAGTGCCGTATTAGATAAAGGTGAGAACTTCTCATTTCAATATCTATTTTGGGTAACTCCAATATAAGTAAGGAGTAAAGGAGTAAAACGAGGTTTAAGGTTGCACGGCTTACTATCGACTAGAAGATACCCTGAACCCTCCAATCTGATATTCTAATCACTCTGCACTTCTTTTAGGCACATATACATACAGGGACTGCGCTGCAGCGTGGGCAATATTATGAGTATTTATTTGTTGAATAATTTAATTTCTGCACTTCTTTTAGGCACATATACATACAGGGACTGCGCTGCAGCGTGGGCAATATTATGAGTATTTATTTGTTGAATAATTTAATTTCTAGACGTACGATCTTAATGAAACTTTCAGAACTTAATCATAATGTTCAAATGTATGTACATTCCAAAGCACAAGTCTCTAGTACTTGAAATACGCCCTTTTACAAAGGTGTGGGTGAGGGGTTGGATATAGGGGTGGAGATAAATTACAACATGACCCGAAATTATATAAAATACACATGAATCTTTCGATAAGGGTTTTAATCGATAATACAATATCGGGAGTAGTTAGTTTTTTAGTGATAAGACTCGATATGTGCGTGATATACACGGACCTAGGAAAACATTTTTAAGAATCTAGCTCTTATATCTTGTGAGATCGATGCGTTCACACATACGGACAGACGGACAGACAGGGCCAAATCGACTCAGCTTTTCGCCCTGATCAAGAATATATACTTACTGGGGTCTGCCATGCCTCCTTCTGCCTGTTACAAAGGGGTTGGGTAACGTTTAGCAAAAATTTAAATTCTATAAAGTAGATATGAGTCTAGCTCCAAAGATGTAGCAGATATAATTATACTCATTCACGGAAATAAAATGAGTATATTGGTTTTGTCCAATGTCCGTCTGTCCGTATGAACGCAATTCGTTCCGCATATTGAAGCTACAGAAATTTGGAGCATTGGAAGTTATATCTCCGATTTATAAATTGTTAACATTTTCCCGATCCGCCCACTAGGGGCGTGGCAAATCGGATAATGCATTTTCCGATATACCAG